TTTTGGTGAAACTGGTCTCTCTGTAGTCTGAAGGCTAGTCAAACTAAAGAGTACCTAATGGTCATCAAACTTTTTAACTTAAAAAAAATTATTTAGGACTGCAATAAGCTTTTGCTCATATGAATTATGTAAGTGTTGATATTTATCAAGTTAGATATTGGATAAAAAATTCTAATTATTTATTTTAATTTAATTTTATTTTTTTTACATTTATTATTAGTGTGTGTGTGTGTGTGGCCAGCTCAGCCCACCAGGGGGCGGGGCTGGCTGGCATGTGGTGCTGGGGGATCGAACCGTGGTCCCTGTGCTTTGCCAAACTTGTTCTAAGTAGGTGCTTTAGACCACTGAGCCATCTCTCCAGCCCATAATTATTTATTTTAAAATAGAGGGCTGGGGATGTAGCTCAGTAGTAGAGCCTATACTTAACACATGTGAGAATCTGGGTTTGATTTGTAGCACCCAGCATACATACATTATATATCTCCACTGCATGTTAATATAAATTATGCTTTATGATATGTGACTTTAAAAATATGAAACAAAATTAGATGAGACTGATGCTTTATTTTTTGCAAATCTATATCTGGCTTGATGTTAGAGGATAGGATATAGCTTGATTTTCATTTCTACTTCTGTATTAAATCCCTTACAGTATACTGCTTTGATTAAATTTTATTTTATTTTATTTATTTATTTTTTTAATTTACAAAGTGCACTCTAAGTCTTACGTTTTATTTAAATAACCTCCAGTGAGAACAGAACAGACCAATTATTACCACTTCTTCATAATACCAATGAGTCAAGCCAGGGAGGGCAAGCACACCTGCAGCCAGCTGCCAGCCAGTGTGACGGGTGGGATCTCAAGGAAGGCGGCCCCCCGGCCCGCTGCTGGAGGAGTATCCACGGTGGAGCGAGGGTTCTTGATGGTCTCATCAACGGACACGATCAGGCACGCAGCCTCAGAGGCTGCTGTGAGGGCATTGATCCGCAACATAGCTGGCTCCCACACAAAAGCCTCGAAGTTGTCAGTAATGTCCTCATTGTTGATGTCCACCCCATACCACATGCCGTCCTGGGCATGCCGAGTCCGTAGTTTGTTCAGGATGTTTGTAGCATCAAAGCCAGCATTGTCCAAAAAAATGAAGAAAGAATTTACAGAGCAGTCATAATAGTTCACTGTGTCAAAACCAAGAAACATATTCATATAACTAGAATTCTCAAAGTAGAAAGGAGTAGGCAATAAATACTTAAAGATTTAAAATTTCTATATTTAGTTCAACTTATAATACCACAACTCCAAGAAAAATGAACCTTTTGCACCAGAAATTTAAATAAAATCATACCAAGATACACAAAAATGAAATTGTGCAAAACTTAATGTGAAGAAAAAAATCATTTAAAAATACATAAAAATATTAGCTATTCATTTATGTTTGTAAATAATTTATTTTCTATTTGCAATCTATTAAAATAAATAAATAAATAAATAAATTTACCAAGTACCTTAAAAAAATAAAGAAAAAGACTGGACACAACCATCTTATCTATGTGGTGTTGAGAGTATGGAAATAATTTGCTTTTCCAAAGTGCTTTTTGAGATCCTGTATGTGGTAGTTGATACATTGTGTCAACTTGGCTGCAGTTCCCGGCTGTGAGCACCCCCCCCCCCCCCCCCGCGTGATTTGTCCCACCCTAGGGTGTGAAAGAGCCACCCAGAGTGACTCAGCACAAAAAGTGTATATAAAAGAGTTGAAGGCGGCTTCACTGTTGACCCCCTTCCCCTTCCTTGGAGACGTCCTAGTCTTTGGAGGAGCTTGATCTTCACAGCCGTACCACATCATCAGAGGTTCTCTGATCTTCATGGTGGAGCACTGGTGAAAGGAAGACAGAGGCTTGATGGACATCATGACTGTTGCGCCTCCTCTGCTCTTCATTGTTTTTTGCCACCATGACCTGCTGCCATTCGCCTTGGAGCCAGTGGAGTATGGACTTAAACCTCTACAAACTGTGAGCTAAATAAACCTTTCCTTCCTTAAAAAAAAAAAAAAAAAGCCAGCATTGTCACATAGCTGGCGTGGGATAATCTCCAAGGCCTTAGCATATGCCCCAATCAGAAGCTGCTGTTTTCCTGGGATAGTCCTTGAGTAATCCCGAAGGTACTTAGAGAGCTCCATCTCGATGGCTCCACCTCCAGCCACCACTGAATCATTCTCAATGGCCCTCCTGACAATCATGATGGCGTCATGCAGAGACCGCTCTGTCTCCTCCATGAACTGCTCAGCTCTGCCGCGGAGGATGAAGGTGCAAGTCTTAGCCTTGGGGCAGCCAGTGAAGAAATTGTACCTTTCACCTCCAATCTGGGTCTCTTCGAACAGCTGGCAGCGGCCCAGCACATCTGCTGATAGAGCATTCACACTGGTCTGGATTGAGCCTCCACAGGCCATCATTGTCTTCTTCAAATCCTCCTCAGGCACACGGCCGGCGCAGAACATGTCCCTATCAGCGAAGTACTGGGTGGCCACATCCCTAATAGGGAGTTTGGACAAAACAACTTTGGCTCCGGAATTATAGATCTTCTCTAACTTGTCATACAGAATGTTCCACTCAGCATCAACAATTGCCTGATAATCCTCTACTGTGTGGACTCTGATTTCAGCATTGTCTTTTTCAGCTTTCAGCTCAAGTTCAACATTTAACAAGGCAATCGTGGGGTTATTGTACTTTTTAGGTTGCATTTCAAATCCAGTGTAAGAGAAAGTCTTCTTGAATGCAACACCAGCCACCAGCCGAGACTCCTCTAGGACTCCACCCTGTACCTTCTTGATTCCAATCATTTTAAGCTGCAGCAAATCATCAAGCATCATCACAGCATCAACCACCATCTTAGCAAAGAAGGCTTTCTGCTGGGAGATCAGCTTGGAGCTCAGAGCTGTCATGGCATACTTCTCCAGCAGCTTCCTCTGCTCCACTTTATCTTGCTTCTTCACAGTCACAACGATCTCCTTGATCTTGTTAATTCCCAACTGTGTAGCTGTGCGAAAAGCTCGGATGATGATCTGGGGGTGCAAGCCTTCCTCCACGTAGGGTTTCACCTGCTTCAGAAACTCGGCAGCCAGCAGGGTCACAGAGGTGGTGCCATCACCAACCTCAGCATCTTGAGATTTGGCGATGTCCACTAAAGTCTTTGCTGCAGGATGGACGACATCGAGAAGTTTCAAAATTGTGGCCCCATCATTAGAAATTGTTGCTTTGCCTCGGCCATCTACAATAAGCTTGTCCATGCCACGGGGACCTAGGGTGGTTCTTACAGCCTCGGCAACCACCTGGCAGGCACTGATGTTACTCACAAGCTGAGGGATGCCTTGGGAGCTGTCAGTTCCCTCTTTCAACAGTATAACTGGTGTGGGCATCATTTTGGCAACTTCTTCAGGGGCTCGCTACTCCGTTCTCCGTGTTCCGGCCGCCCAGATCTTAAATTTTATTTTTTAAAAAATCCTAGATGGCGTGGTAGCATGCGCCTGTAATCCCAGCACTTGTAAGGCTGAAAACAGGAGAATCGCTACAAGTTGTATCTACATAGTGAGACCCTGTAAAGCCCATAGACCCTGTCCTAAATAGAGAACAAAAAACAAAAAAACCCCAACTCCATACAGTTAGCTGGAAAAGAGGTTATTTTAATAGGTTTTTAGATATTTGTGGATATTCTTTGATGGTGCAACAAAACCAGACAAGTGGTTAATTTTTTAAAGCTTAGTTACTATGTAGAGTGTAAACCTTGTTGATGACTTTTTCATAGGCAGTTACATAAAAATTTACTGTTTTAGGGGCAGGGAGATGGCTCAGTAGAATAAGCGCTTGCCTGGCATGCGCAAGGTCCTGAGTTCAATCCCTGATATGGGGAGTATCCACCTCACTGAAATAAAAAAATATACTGGTTTATTTGTAAACTTCAGCTACATCTTCATTCATATATAACTTCATAGTTAGCTACTTGGTAGTATTAGCTACAACTAATTTGTTCATTTAAGTACGCAGGTATTTCAAACAGTAACATATTGTTATATCACGTGTCACAAACTTGAGACCATATTTGTTATATTTTTGTTTCTCAGGCATTTATAGTCATTCTGGCTGCTGTGTGCCAGATTCATGTTAAGATTTTTCTTTTTCATTATTTACTTTAATTTTTATTAATATGTGTTTGCAGTACCTCATGCTTACTACATTCCTTATGTGGAATTGATATATGCACACAACACATCCCAATTTGTTTTTTCATTCCCATCATCCTCTCCACTTTCCTCTTCCCTCTGTGGCTTGATCCCCCTTCCCATTTGAGAAACCTCTATTTCCCTGCTTCCCATTAGTCTTTTATTTTGTTCTTTATTTATACTTTGGGTTTTACATATAAGAGAAGCCATATGATATTTAAGTTTGTGTATCTGATTTATTTCATTTAACATTGCAGTCTCATGGCGCATCCATTTTCCTATAGATGAATCACAATTATTTCTCTATGGTAGTGTAGTGCTGCGTTATCTTTATACCACATTTTCTTTATCCATTCATCTGTTGATGGACATATAGACTACTTCCAAGATTTAACTATTATGAGTCGTGTTGCTGTAAATATGGGTATGCATTTATCACTATAATATAATGTCTCTACTCATGGTAAGAGTTTTTGGTATTGAACCCAGGGCCTTGCTCATACTGAGCTGCTAATAAGCAGGTACTCTACTGTTGAACCACTGTACATCCCCTGTCTCCTCTATAAGATTTTTATATGCGTGTTTTTACTTTAGCTAATTATATTATTAGACCTATCAAAGGACCTTTGTTTAAATGTAAAAGACCTGTTTATGTTCATCTAACCTCATTAAGTGAATACAAGATGCTTTTACTAGTAATTATGGCTTTATGTATCCATAGTGATAATTTATTAGATGTACAGTTAGTATTTTAGTTCTTATGAATTTTCTTTTTCCCATCTTGTTTAGAAACATGATTGTTTGTTGGACTTGATCTCACAGCCCAGTGAGGACTTCGTTACTGATAATGTCAAGTTCAGGTTATCCTCCCAATCAAGGAGCATTCAGTGCAGAACAAAGTCGGTATCCTTCCCACTCTGTCCAGTACACCTTTCCTAACACCCGCCACCAGCAGGTAAGGATGAGATGCTGTGCACACTGCATATGTATTTTATGTTTACTATTTAAAGCAAAAGTCCAGAAACCAAGTAAACATACTTTTTAATGGAAAAAATCTTTCTCAACAATGAGGAACTAAAGTTTGGGGATTCTCTCTTACTTGGGGTTGAACATCTTTGCTTTTGATTGCAGGAATTGTGTGGGGTTTTTTTTGTTTGTTTTTGTTTTTGTATTTTAGGGAAGGGTCTACGGGGTGTTCAGGGTCTCACTACTAGATTGGAGTCGTAGTGATTCTCTTCTTTACAGCCTCCCAAGTGCTGGGATTACAGGCATGTGCCACCATGCCCAGTCTCAATCGCTGTCTCAGTGTGCCCCAGAGCCGGGACTGGCATGGCAGACCCAGGGATCAAACCCCTGGCCTCTGCTCCTGCTTGCAGGTGTTTTAATCTGCTGAGCTATTTGGTCGGCCCTAGAAATTGTTGATAGAATCAGTTGTCTAGAGATTCTAGGTTAAGACTTAACGTTTGTATTCCACATTCTAGTTGAGTGTTAAGCTGATCAGACATTGTGACTTTTCTTGAGCAGTCACCGGAAGAAAGGCCTCAGCCCTCTAGCCCCATATTGGGGATTTAACCTGTGGCCTTGTTTATGCTGGGCAAGTACTCCTGAACCATATCCCCCAGCCCAGGGCTTTTATCTTTTTTTACTTTTTTATTTTTATTTTTATTTTCATTTTTTATTTTTTTTTTTGATGCATGGTCTCTCTATACAGTTCAGACTCATAGTGATCCTCCTGTCTCAGCTTTCCCAGTGCTGGGATTATAGGTATGTGCCACCATGCCTGGTTTCTCAGTGCTCCTATCTTGAGAGATTTGATGATAGGAAGGCAAGAGAATTTGTATGGTTGCATTAGTGAGAATGAAATCATGGTGGCATATACCTGTAATGCTAGAACTCTGGGAGTCTGAGATAAGAGCATTGGGAGTTTGAGCCCAGCCTGGGCAACTTAATGACTTAGAACCTGTCTCAAAATAAAAAAAGGCTGGGAATGTGACAGCGTGAAAACCTTAGGTTCAATCCTCAATGCTAGAACTAAGAAAAAAAATCCGAGAAACTATGAGCAATGTACATGTGTTGCAGTTTAAGAAGTTTTGAAGAAAAATGGAAAGCAAGAGATAAATGGTCATCTTAGAGGATAAGGAGGCAGATTGATCAGGAAAAATATAATTGGGTACTACTGAGGATTCCTTTAAAGTGTGGTCATGGTTACAGAATAGAATGAATATCCTTACATTGATTGTTCTGTGTAGGAAAACATTTAGTCTTTCACCACTAAGTATAGTTTTGTATGTTTTGTTAATGTTCCTTTTAGGTTGAAGGATTTTCAGTTTTAGTTTGAGAATTTCTATTATGATTAGATGTTGAATTTTGATTGTGTATTCTTTCTGCTCTAATGCTGTTCATTTGGTTTCTAATTTTGTAGATTATTGCTGCTGCCTTTTTTAAGGAAATCAAACTTTATAGTTTAATTTATATAAGATACATCTATTTTTATGCGTGTATATTTTTATACATACATTTTGACAAACTTGTATACCCATAAAATCACCAAATGAAGATTATTTCTATTATTCCAGAAGTCAGTCCTCTTCTCCAACTTCCTATCAACCTCACCTCCCAAGAATCCACTAATCAATCTTTCTTTCTTTCTTTCTTTCTTTCTTTCTTTCTTTCTTTCTTTCTTTCTTTTTTTTGCAGGACGGGGGATTGAACTCAGGCCCTTGAGCTTGCCAGGCAAGCGCTTATTCTATGAGCTATCTCCTCGGCCCCTCCACTAATGTTTCTGTCATAGTAGATTGCATTTGAGTTTCATGTCAACTATTTTGCCTATGGCTTTATTTTTTATTTATTTTTTATTTTAGGGAAGGGTCTAGAGGGTGTTCAGGGTCTCACTACTAGATCGGACTGGTAGTGATCCGCCTGTTTATAGCCTTACAAAAGCTGGGATTATGGACGTGCACCACCACGCCCAGTCTCAATTGCCATCGAACCCCTGCCTACTTGGAGAGGCTGTAATCCGCTGAGCTATTTGGCCAGCCCTGGGGACTTCGTAGATTTTTTAGATTTGGCTATGTCTTGTTCCTTTTTTTTTTTTTTTAAATCGCACCCAGTTTTGACTTCTGTTTCTTTTCTTTTTTTTTAAAGGTTTTTTTTTTTTTTTTTTTTTTTTTTCTTTTTTTTTTTTTTTTTTTGGTGGAACCAGGGATT